ACCAGGCACAACCTGCCCCCCCAGCCCCGAGAGGGAAGCACAGCACCCCACGGGCCGCACGGTCCCAGCCACAAGCACACAACCTTTGAGCTCAGCCATTTATTTGCTCTCTGGTGGAAGCCACACACCGCTGGGGCCATATCCTCCTGCCCCACGGGCATCCACCGGCGCAGGGGCACCACTCGTCACTCAGCAGCATCCCAGGGGACCACAGGTGCCACCAGGACGGCAGGCAGGAACCGGGGCCCCCAGCTGCTCCAGTAGCTGGAAGGGATCGCAGATCTCCTGGAGGGCAGAGAACAACCCGGAGCAGGATCAGGCCAGAGGGAAACAAAAAGCACCTAGGGAAAGCAGCATTCCCCCCACACACACACCCTGCCAGTGGGGCAGTCCAAGCAGACCCTCCATAACCAACGTGGGAGCAGCCCCCAGGTCACTCCAGCTGCTTTTCCCTGCTGTAAGGAGGAAGCCAAGAGCTTCTTTGGGACTTGGCTCTGCTTTTATCTGAGAAATGCCTCCTGCTTGGACAGGGACCCAAGAACATCTCCCTTTCCCCAAGTACAAGGTTGTGTTTCAGGGACACGCAGCTGCAGGGCGTTATCTCCCTTGCCTCTCCTGGCCCGTCTACAGGCTGGTGGGACCACCAAAGAGAGGAGGAGAGAGGCTTCCAGCAGATAGAAGTGCTTTGTGCTGCAGGGTCAGGGCTGACAGCCAGGGCCAATCTCACATGAGCAGCTGCGAGAGCGATGGGCAGAAAGGAGCCACAGGGATGGACCATCACCTCCCTGGGACAGGCTGTCCCCAGCCATCTCCCCAGAGAAAGGATGTCTCCCCTTGGAAGACCTCAGGCAGGTCCAGCTGGCAGCCCTGGCAACCCCATGGACATGTTGGGGGTAGGGGGGCAAGGGGCTTTCAACGCCTGATGGTTAGAGCAGACCCCCCCCTTTGGGGGGCTCCAACATGCGCTGGGATGCAGTTGCCCAAATTCAGGCACCAGGCACCACCCTGGGTACCTCACGGACTCCTGCCTGGCCCAGAAGGACTCAGGTCTCTTGGTGTCATGCCATAGCCCCTCTCATACTCCAGGGTAACTCTAATGGCACAGGACACCCATGTCCCCATCCCTAAACCCAGCTGTGGAGCTGCCTGCTACCAACCTTCACTTCTGTGCAACAGCAGCCCTGCGGTGCGGCAGCGTTGGCCCCACCAGCTCGGATCAGGAACTCCTCCGCAAACCTGGAGCTCTGCAAGATCGCCGCCATCTCGGCATCCACATCCACCACCTCTCCTTCCTGGGGGCAGAGGGACGGTCACAGAGCTGGGGTCCGGGATATGTGGCCCAGGGGACCCCAGCCACCCAGCCAGATGACAGGGGGAGCAGGAGCAGGGGCACAGCCTGGCCCAAAACCTTGAGAAACACCCACAACAACCAAGCAGCTGCCTTCAAACCCTCCTGTGAAGCCACCATGGATGTCCTGCTCCTATCTTCACCCCAACACGATGCACAGGCCTGGCTCCATTTCCTGCCCCTGTATATACCTCCCCTGGTTTATACAGCTCCTCTGCTCCCACCTACCACCCCCTCTACCAGTGCTTACCCCCAAAATCACAGAGGATGCTGCTGAGTAGCACTGCTTCATCAGCTTTACCCTATTCCTACAGATCAGAACTGCTTGCCATCCTGGGGAGCCCCAGCATGCCTCCCCGCACCTTGAAAGTGAAGTTGGCATCAAACACCAGCTCTCGTTCGTGCCCCACGATGCCACCATTGTAGATGACCTGGCCCGGCCCGGCCCGGCTGCTACCCGGCACCTTGAATAGGCGGAAAGTTGCAGAGACGAAGCGGCAGTCGATTCCTACAGATCAGAACTGCTTGCCATCCTGGGGAGCCCCAGCATGCCTCCCCGCACCTTGAAAGTGAAGTTGGCATCAAACACCAGCTCTCGTTCGTGCCCCACGATGCCACCATTGTAGATGACCTGGCCCGGCCCGGCCCGGCTGCTACCCGGCACCTTGAATAGGCGGAAAGTTGCAGAGACGAAGCGGCAGTCGCCTGCAAAGAAGAGGTGGGTGAGTTGGGCACCGAGTGCCCAGGCTGGGAACCAGCAGAGCCTGGGATCCCAGCACAGCTCTCCATGGCTGCCTGGAGCTGACGGTCCCTGGTCAGACCCTCACCAATGATGCCCTCCAGCTCCTTGTTACCGATGGTGATGGGGCTGGCAGTAACTAGGCGTGGGGGGCTGAACCCCACCTCCTCGGCGATGCTGTACAGGTCTCTCCAGTATAGGGCTCCCGCCAGGCACTCCCCTGGTACGAGACCACAGACACAGGTGATGGAGGCAAAGGTCCAGCCCCCCCACCCCATGCCACCCTCATCCTGGAGCCCTACGCACCCCACAGCACCCTGTGCTTCCGGACGGCCTCGCTCAGGCGCTGGCTGGCGTAGACATCGCTGAAGTATATCTCTCCCCCAGGCTGAAAAACAGTGAGGAGTGAATGGAGACCGCAAGAAGCAATGGGACAAAAGGGGCAGGGAGAACAGGGCCCTCCTCAACATTACCCTGCTCAGGACCCTCTGCAGAGGTGCCCTCCCTTGGCCCCATCCCACATCCCCACCTTGCTGGATCCCATTTGCTGCATCCCAGTGGCACCTCAACAGCAGGACCACCCCAACCCTGCTCCGCTCCCACCATGGGTGCCAGACCTAGCATCACCTTCAGCACACGGTAGGCCTCCCGCAGCACGGCCCTCTTGTCAGGGGCAAGGTTGATCACGCAGTTGGAACTGGGAAGGAAGAGACCGACGCTCATTTGCACCCTCTCGTGTGCTCAGCACCACCGGCTGCTGCACGTCCACCGGCTGCTGCATGTCCCATTGCTTCGTGCAGGATTTGGAGACATCGATTTGACCATGAAAAGGGCAGTTTGTGTATTTCCAGTCTCGAGCCCAGACTCTGCCTTGGGATTTTCCCTTTGCTAACACGTGCTCCCGAAGTGGGCAACCCAGTGGGATGTGGACCTGGATCCCAGCCCACGGTCCCAGGCAGCAGCAGGACCAGGGATGGCAGTGCCCTGTGCGGTACTTACATGACAATATCATAGCTCTCGTCGGCCAGCCCAGCATCACCCAGCTTCTCCATGTAGCCCTGGAGGAACTCCACGTTCGGCTTTTGGTAGCCAAACTTGTCCATGTGGTAGGCAACGTGCTTCTTCGCCACCTCGACCTGGGAGGAGGAAGGGAACAACAGTGGGAGGATGCTGGGGGGACAAGGGGAAGCCCCAGCTCCGTGCCGTACCTGGTCCTCCGTCATGTCTATCCCGGTGACCTGGCCACGCTCCCCAACCAGCTGGCTCAGCAGGTAACAGTCTCTGCCGCTGCCGCTGCCCAGGTCCAGGATCCGGCATGACGCCAGGCACTCGGGGATCACCAGACCGCAACCGTAGTACCTGAGGGGATGCTGAGCTGAGCCGGGCAGAGGTGTTCCTGTGGCATGGCAGTGCAGGGGGCTGCAGCCCATGGGGAGGCAGCGGCGGAGGGGAGCCCCAGGGGTTTACCTGGCCACCACCTCCTCGTGGACACGCTCCAAAGCATCTCTCACTGCCTTGGGAAGGGGCCTGGCCAAGGTGACGCATGCATTGGTTTTCAGGTCCTCTGACTTCTGCAGCTCTTTGCCATAGTAATCCTGAGACGGGAAGGACAGAA